CTCATGCTGCTCACTACCATCACATGTCAATTCGTGGAAGAGTCGTTGTACCAAGACGAGTGATAGTTTATAATAGAAAGTAACGGTTTTTTCTTGTGTCTACGGACAGATCGACGCTCATAAGAAAATCTCTTCAAGTAGTGAAAAGCTTCTCTGATTAAAACTAGTTTTTCTAAGATAATTCTTGATGTTGAAACACGAATCCGATGTCCATTTTTGTGTCCATATTGAGTTTGTGAATGAATCTTTAGAAATCTAGACTCTACATCCGTTTACCGAGAGATTCTGATCTGACCAATTTGTAGAGCTTATCGAGTTACACATGTAGAAAGAGTTTTAGGTTTTGCTAAGTTTCAAAAATTTTATTTTCAAGTACAGCGAAATGTCCAAGGGGTAAAAAGCACAGACTCTGGACTTTTACGGATTTTAATGAACTTTGACAGTCTACCGAAGTCCAAAGTACAATGGAGTCTAATAAAGTCTGTAAAGGCCAGAAAAGGTTGTAAGTTTATCTAAATCGCCGTCAGATTGGTTTCTGGTTGGTCAGATCAGAATCTCTCGGTGAACAGATGTAGAGTCTAGATTTCTAAAGATTCATTCACAAACTCAATATGGACACAAAAACGAACATCGGATTCGCGTTTCGACATCAAGAATTATCTTAGAAAAACTAGTTTTAATCACTTGGAAAGATTCTCTTGTAGGTCTCTAGAAAATGCTTATATTTTCTCATACTATCCTCTACACTCGTTGTGTGACGTTGTTTATTTTCGTCTATTGACAAGATTGTTTTTGTTTATTTAGGCAATGTTGATGATGAATTAATCTCTCATTCACCAATTGAACAATCTTTAACAAATTTAAAACAATTACATCATTTAATTCGTGATCAACATCCAACGATTGTCAAAGCACTTGATTCTATTACTTTACAATTAAATATTATTAAAGAGACATTATACGAACATATTGTTAAACAGTTGCACATTTGTATAGAAAAAGTCTATAAATACATGTATAACAAAGATCAAACACAATTAATAATTAGTGTTAAACAAATAATTGATCAACTTAAAGAATTGATATTTGATGCTGTTAATGGTCAATATGACCAATTTCTTATTTCTCAAGATTATTACAATGAAATGAATTTAATTGATCGAGAATATATTAATTATATTAAAATACAATTTAATCAAGATTTCAACAATGATAAGTAAGATAAATGAATGTAATAACATTTTTCTTAACACTTGTTTATGTTCTTATTTAGATTATTTCATAATAATAATGATGATGATAATGATAATGATGATGACGAGAATCAATCACTCTTGTTGCTAATTGAAACAATTGAAAAATGGTTGAGTTTATTTGAAAAACGTATTGAACGTGTATTACCTCGTGAATTTTTATTAAATAATTTGAAATGTTCATATCTATTTTCATTTACAAGTCAAATAACAAATGAATTAGATATACCTGGTGAATTAAATGTACCACCTGAAACACAATTTTATTTTCGCATAAATCGATTTTTATCACATATTCAACGTGTTAAAAAGAACAATCAATATTATCGTCGACTAAAAATTCGTTCTCATAATGGAAAATTATTTTATTATTTATTATCAAATGATTATCGTTCAAAATATTTAAATATTGATGAAATATCAGCAACAACAACAACCATTAAACAACAACAATTACAAAATCGTTCTTCATTACTCAATTATATGAATACATTTGCCGATGATAGACATTTAAATTATAGTCAAGAACAATTACTACAATTTTTGAGAATAGTAAATCCATATTTATTGAAACAAAAAGAAACATTAAGACGTCAAACTCAAATGTATATACCACGATTACTAACATATTTACCATCATTGAGATTAATTGAAGATAACTATGTGTCGAAAACGTTAATTGACATTTATAACGAATCAAACAGCACGAGTAAGTATAAGATATAGAAATCTTGTTTAGAGTGTTTAGTACGAAAATTTCTCTACTTATAAATATCTTTAACTTAAATTTTAGTAAAGATAATTTTTCTACTAATTTCATACTGATTCTTCTCTCTGAGATAAAAGTAACTAATGAGTTATATTTGAGTATTGTACTTTCACTTTTAAAGAAGATTGAAGTAGTATCCAACACACTTCAAAAAATAGTATCTTGTTTTACAACAATTTCGAAATCATTCTGAAGTTTAGTGTACTCACGAGGGAACCTCTCCAAATGTTCTCTCGTTTTTTCACGATATGTAGCAGGCTATAAGTCATTATTGAATATAAACCATAATTATATGTAAATGTTTTACGAAATGTAAAATAATTATTTGCATTATCACCAT